AGGAAAATGGGCTGAGGCTGAATCCGGACAAGATGGAAGTTCTGAGGGTGGATGACCCCGTGGCTAGTGGTTGGGTGACTCCCTCACATTTGGGGGGTGACCCTGGTCGCAAAGAGCAGGGTCCACAGCCTGGGGGTACATCTGGACCCGATGCTCACTATGGAAACACAGGTGGTGTCAGTAGTCCGCACCGCCTTTTTCCACCTATAGCGGATTGCCTGGCTGAGGTATTCTCAAGATTAGACCACTGTAACGCGCTCTATGTGGGGCTGCCTATGAGGCTGATGCGGAAACTTCAGGTGGTGCAGAATGCGGCGGCCAGACTCCTCAGTGGAGTGAGAAAATACCAGCATGTTTCTCCCATGCTGGCCATGCTGCACTGGCTGCCCATTCATTTCTAATGCTCACTTATAAGGCCCTAAATGGTTTAGGGCCTCGATATTTGGCGGAACGCCTGCTCCCACCAAGATCTATCCGGATCACCTGTGCGAGCCAGGAGGTGAGGCTGAGGAGCCTGACGCCGAGGGAGGCCTGGAAGGAAAAGACACAAAACTGGGCCTTCTCGGCAGTGGCTCCTCACCTCTGGAACAATGTCCCTCCTGAGATTCGCACGGCCCCCACTCTGGGCACTTTTAAAAGTCAATTAAAACCATGGCTATACATTCAAGCCTTCCCTCCAGCTAATACCTCATTTTTCTGTTTATTCTCCTTTTATTTATTTTCTACTCTATTTTTTATTGTGTATGTTATAGTATGGTTTATGTAATTTTTGCATTATCTTATTCTTTATACTATACTGGAAGCTGCCTAGAGTGGTCTTTTAGGCCAGATGGGTGGGGTATGGATGGATGGATGGATGGATGGATGGATGGATGTAGATAGATAGATAGATAGATAGATAGATAGATAGATAGATAGATAGATAGAGATAAAATTCTCTCTTCATTGGAAAGGTTGGTGCACAGACATTGATGCATCTTATCATATTGAGAGTTGTAGTTCCCAGCACCTGGCGTAGTTCAGAACTCTTTGGAAAGTCAACAGGTCAACCCTTGCCAACATAAAAACACTGGAACAAGGGTGGTTTTTTTTTTTAAAAAAATCTCAGTGGTGGAAAACAGCCATGTGAAAGGTTTGCAAAGAGCAATTTAAAAAAATTAGAGAGAAGAGAGTTGGGAACAGAAGGCTGCTTGGTCAGCTGTTCTTATTATGTATTTCACAGCAATCAGGAATAATTTTGTTTTGAGAAGCATTTACTACTGAATTACTTCTATGCAAGCATCTGCCCAGCAGCTGACATGGACGCTCCTATCATTTCACAACAGTCAATGAGGCTTTCAACAATTTTATTGAGAACAAGGGGTTAATATGAAAAAACTTTGGGGGGTGTACTTCCAAAACTATTTTGCCCATCTAAGCATTAAATATGCTTACGCAGAATCTGGTTTCCCATTTGCAGCAGGTGAAGAACTTTGTGGAGAAAGCACCAGTTCTTTTAACATTAAGATAACATTAAGAAACTGTACTCCTAATTAGGTAATTAGGACCTTTGGTGGAAACACCTCTCATTTGGATAAGCTTGATGTGCAACCCACATATGACTAGTGTTGACCTCTTCAAATTAGGGATGCTGAGGAATTTTGCTTCTTCTGCATTTGTGAAGTAATCAAACTAATTAGCACTTTTTGGACTAATACAAACCATAAAACAACTGTCTTTTCATATGATGTTCTAAAACATGTTTAGTGTACATTGGTATATTATGGCTAAAATCCTGTTGTGTAATGTAGTAAGTGGCAATAAAGGTAAAGTTCCCCTTGATATTTAGTCCAGTCGTATCTGACTTTAGGAGGCAGTGCTCATCCCCGTTTCCAAGCTGTAGAGCCAGCATTTCTCCGAAGAGTTTCTGAGGTCACGTGGCCAGCGTGACTAGACATGGAACGCTGTTACTTTCCCACCGTGGTGGTACCTATTTATCTACTTGCATTTTTAAATGCTTTTGAACTGGAGCTGGGACAAGCGACAGGAGCTCACTCCGCCGCGTGCATTCAATCTTACAACTGCTGGTCTTCCAACCTTGCAGCACAGAGGTTTCTGCGGTTTAAACTGCAGCACCACCACGTCCCTAAGTGGCAATAGAGTACAGTAGTCCAACTGAATCAGTAGATATTTGCTGTCAATTCCTCTGTAAGTACCATTCATGTAAACATGACTACTCCAGCTGCAACTTACTACAGAAAAGTAAGCTGCAGCTAGAGTAGACTCCTTTATGGAGCTTTCAGAGGAATAGATCACCAAATCCTCACTGATTTAATGGGCCTATTCGACTGCAACCTGTTACAGTAAGCAACAGGATTTAAGTCAAAATGCTTATTTTAGGGAACTGAGTAAAAAAAATGTGTCTATACATAACTTGTAGAACCATATCAACATAAATGAAAGACAAATATCCATCCATGTAGGGTTTTTTAAAAAGTAACTATAATGAAGCATAGTTGTAACTGAGCATGTGCAGAACTGACCTGAACCAGAAACAGTCTGATCCATCCCTACTTCAGATTGCATATGGAAAGCAAGCAGAAACAGACCATTAGTTCAGTTACTATGTCTAGATGGCCCTGACCTAAAACTCCCCATTAATTCAGCCACCAAAGAGCAATGCATAACCAACCAGATATTCTGCCAGCTGCTCCAAAGGACTCAATGGGATCCCATCGTTTACCGTAAAAAGCATCAGAGAACTAATTGCACAGCTAAAAAAGGAATCAGCAGGTTGCAAGAAGTCATTACTCAGCCCCAGCAATACACCTTGTAAGTTATTAGCACATTTAAGCAAAGCTTCTTGTGCTGGGCACTGCAATGGCAACCTGCTGCCAAACTCTGATCTTTTGTAACAAATCGTTGGCAGACAAATGTGCTTTCAGTTCAAGGGCCACCAGGAGCTTGTTCAGCACAGAGAGATTAAAAACAACTCCAAAAGAGAAAGTGGAGTTGCAGAGAGGGCCGAATGCACACAAAGGCAGGGGGATCAGATTCATCCAGCTAGGACATGCCCAGCGTATGGCACGGGCTTCTAGTGCACTACCCTCTGCTCGGCTTTAGAGCAATTATGTCTACTTCAGCCGGCCTTGGTATTTCTGAAGGTAGACAATGCTTTTCTTTTCTTTTGTCTGCTGACAGTGGCAGGTTAACTGTATTTATTCTGCTACTTGAAAGCAGCTAGCATGTTGGCTTCTGGTGACTACCGCATGTTGAACTCACTTGATCTGGTTCAAGGTGTATGTTTGTGTTTAAATGGGTAATTATCTTCGTTCTTCCAACTGCAAACCTGGGAAGGAAGTGATAGATACTCTGATATGAGTCATTAGTGTTACTCAGGCCATATCCTGGAGACACGTAGTTGTCAGGAACAGAGAGCTCCAAAGGGGAACAAGACAGAAAAGGGTGCAAGAAAAATGGCTCAGAGGCAGACCTGACTGCCACACATAGGGCAGGAGACTCTAAATGCCTGGCAAATGAAATGCTGTGGAAAACTTCATTGTGCTTACAAGACTCCTTTTGGGCCTGAAAAAATTAGCACCTTTTTAAAGGGCTGTCACTTGGTTGGAAGGTGCTTGTTTTCTACATCTCTAGAGGGCAAGGCCAAAATCAATGAGTTCAAATCAGAGAAAATGTACTTCCCAAGCATACCTTGATGAAGTGCAGTAAGGAGGGGAGGCACTGGGAGAACCTGGTGGCAACGCCTAGGCACCATTTTCTGTGGGCCTGTGGGTTTACCTCACAAAATCTCAGGCCTCCACATCTACGGGGATATGAGACCTATAATATCTTCTTCAAGTTTGAGGTACTTGAGTGGAGTTGGTCTGAACAGTCAGGAAATGATTTTACATTTCTCACTCCAATCCTAGCTCAGTACCCACTCTTATTTTCAAAGGAGGCAAGCAAGACATGCAGTAAACTTGAATGAGTACATTACTATTGGAATGAGATAGGGGGTCATTCATGATATTTATGATGTTCTCTATTTCAGTTTGAAAACTTATTGACTCCTACACCCACAGGGGAGAAGAAAAACTCTTAAAGTTGTGGATAACTTACAACTACCGGTACTAATGCTGTGGTTTCTCCTACTATTTTATATTTCTATACAGCCCAAAAAGTTCAGTCCAGAATTCAGACAAGTCTGTCAAGCATCTATCAACAAGGCCAGAAAAGGGTTGAGGACAGCTTCAGCTTTTCTGATGAAAGAAGGCTAGTAATTGCTTGAGGAGACTATTCTGGTTCCATTGCCTGACAGATGCATTTATCAGTTTCCCCCCTATATTTGAATAGTTTTAACCTTTTTTTCCTGTTAAACTGAAGCTGTTGTTTGAATTTTGGAAAGTTTTTATCAAAAACAAATAAAATCAGTAGCCCTTTCTGTTGGGCAAATTCTATATACAGTATATGGAGATTTCTAATATGGAGAGGACTAAGCAACACTTGCCTAGCTGTTAAATATGAGAGGAATCTTTCAGGAAAAGAAAAAAGTAAAGAGGTGGCAACCCTAATTCAGTACCGCAAACATGGTGTATGTACAATGATTCAAGGCCGGATAACTGAGTACTTCAGGTCCTCTTCAGGATAAACAAATCTGTCACTTTTGCTTTATAATTAGTTAAGCTTTATTATACAGTCATAGACCCCAAAATTCAAGGATACAAACATAATAGAAGATATACAGAATAAGTAAGTTCTTAGAACATATCGACAGTATAAAACGTCCGTCAGATGGTTGTCTTAATATAACATTTTTGCTTTTTCTCACATTCAATTTTTTACAAACTGAGGAACTTTCCATTGAATGTATGAAGAATTTGAGAATTCTGGAAAGTTATTTTTGAAAACAAAGCAATTTTTCTCTTCCATCCCTACTGCTGCCTTTCATGTCATTTTCTTTGGAGTAAAGAGATTATCTTCTCCTTCAGACTGATAAGACCTTTTATGATACTTTATATGGAGGGACAGATTCTCCTCCGAGCTGTGCTGTTGCTAGCCTTAGCCTGCATGAGGTTTTCATAGCTAGTCAGTCCACTGCGAAACAGGAAGAACACAAGAGAGACATTTAGCCAGTGCACCTGCTTAACTAGTATGCCCAAGTACCTGAAAGTTTCATGTAGAGCTTGGAAAAAATTACTTTTCAGCAACAACTCCCAGAATCCCCAGCTGCCTGTGTCGAAAAAGTGAGACCAGAGTTCGAATCTCCGCTTTGCCACAGAAATTCAATGGGGTGTGTGGAACTGGTAAAGCCACTTTTTAAATAGTTCACTTACATTGAAAGCCCTGTTAGAGTTGCTAGAATTTGGTTCTGACTTGATGGCACATGACGAACTCATTTCTATGAAGTACTGAAGCAAAATAGAATGGAAAGTAAAGAAGGGTCCAGCTAAGCTACAAACTCCTCAGTACGAGGACACTACATTGAAACCAAGAGAATAAGGGCATCACCTTCCTTTATTCATATCAGAACATTGCACAATTTAAAATTGTGGACATATATGAAATATAGGTAAAATGAAAAAACAAATTAAAATGTTAAGATAATTAGACTATTTTTTTATACCAGAGGTGGAATCCTGTAATAGCATTATCTTGACCATTTGCTAGATCTTCTTTTGTACATCTAGTAGGGTATAAATTGCATGCTCACAACTGCTGCATTGATTGAATTTCTCCACAGCCCCTGAAAATTTGTCTTGTTTCCAAATAGCTCTATTTTACTTGATTATTTTTTGATTTTCCTACTTAGCTTTGGAGTCTACTAATTGTTTCCAAATAACTCCATTTTACTTGATTATTTTTTCAATTTTCCTACTTAGCTTTGGAGTCTACTAAGTGGCTTCCAGATAGTCCATCTAGAGACATGTCCTCATGGGAGACACTCGTCCTTTCCCATTCTTACTGAAACAGAAAAGATCATAGTTTCCTCAGAATACTAATGCAAAAATACATTCTTACATAATAATATAAAGGCTTCACTAAACAGAATTAAAATAGAAAACCAAATTTCCCAGGCCAGTTTTTGAGCCACATGACTTCCTTACTAACTTGCTTTCCATGGATTTGTGGAACTAAATCTTCTACAATTTTTAAAATCTAGGGATATCATTTCTAAAATGAACTTCTAGGTGAATGGAGTTTTGGCTTGCCTGGGTTGTCTCTGTGCCTGAAAATTCTTGGCTGTTATTTTCCAAACACCATTCGGTAACAGGCCCAACACTTAGCACTTCAGTCTCTGAAAATAAATCTCTCTTTTTTTCTCAATACCCATTTAATTTCAGTCTCTGAAAGTAAATCTCTCTTTTTCTCTTGCTACCCAGCTAATTTGGTTCTGTCCCATTATTTACATGTGGCATTATATTCATCTCCTTGTCTAATTTCTTTCCCTCACTGAACTGCTAGGCTTTAGCAATATTGCAGGTACAGCTGATTTGTGTACCCTGTTATTGCAGTGTACTTCCACCAGCCTTTTTTATGCAGGGTGCCTTTGTTAATACTGACCAGTCCAATGACTTCTCCCACACTGACATCCTTTTAAAAATGTATTTGAACTTTTGAGTCATTTCTAGAAAACTCCCATTAACATTTTTTCTTTGGAAGACGGGCCTTTGGGAGAATAGGAAACATTGTATCTACAATGCATGTGCTTTCATCTGTGTGACTGGACTATTTGAAAATAAGGAGGAGCACTAATGATAATACAGTTGCTAAAGCACCACCATGTATCTATACATAACGTAAAGAAAGATAATTGTGCCAGTTGGTTGATTTGCTTAATGAAGCAAATCAACCAATTTGCTGATTCTGATTTGATACAAATGCAGCTATTTGCATTTGGCTGTTACAGCTAAGTACTACTGCATCTCTTTGTATGTTTTGCCTATCCTGGTTTGAAAGAACAATAGCGTATGTGTAAAAAGAATTAGAAGACCATTCAGAGCATAACAGCTATAAAGCCCAGACTGGGGTAGAAGTAGCAGCCAGACGTCTCCCCTATCAGAATCTCTGTTGTTTATTGCTACAATGGGCCCAAATCTGTGACTTCTGTCTGCACCTGCTGGTGAAATTGACATGTTCATTTTCTTCAATGGTTTCCATTTCTTGAACTTGACGCCAGTGGTAAGAACCAAAAAGGGATTCCTCAGCTCTATACTGTATCTGGTTACTTCTGCCTGTCAATCACAGTGTCCAGGGTTATATAGCTTTATTCCATTGTGTTCTATTTAGCTGGGGCGGTGGTGTAAATCTTCAGTTGTCTAGTTGTGTGCATTGTTGAAGTACAGAACCACTGCAAGAGGGCAGTGTAAAACCACAAGAATAACTGATTTTCATTGCACAAATAATACTTTAATTCAAATATCAGAAATTATGTAAGATGACGATGGCTTATTCTGCTTTTTAACATAGGCTTCTAAGGATTAGGTGCCCCATATGGTGCATTTAGCTTGACAACATGGATGGTTCTGTTTTCATGGGGAGATTGTGCATGTAGTGGAAACCTTGATGAGAAAAATAGTTATCTGTGTCTCGCTTTTGCCAAGAGGCAAGGACTTGTGCGAGGTTTTCTTGTCAAGTTGAGACAATGCAAGTCCATCAGAATAAACATGCTTGCTTTACATGTGTCTGTTCTATTTGCCAATATTCTGAATACCATTCTTTCCTTACATTGTTCACTAAGGCTCAAACATTGCCCTCGAGGTACCTCATTGAAGCTCTTGAGTCCCTTAGTAATGTTTGATTCCACACTGGAAGGATCCCCTCCTTCCATCTTCAGATTGGGGCTGTTTGCCTTTCACAGTGCCATGGCTATGAACAGCTCTCAGTCGAGTTTTGTGAATGCTGTCTCTGCTCCACCGCGAAGTAGACAAATCTATTTCTTGTGCTTGCCTAAATTTCTACATTTCAGCCAAGGATATTGAAATTAGCCTTCTGCATTGTAACAGTCATCCTAGAAATATCATTTGTTGTAGCACAGTGCTGCCAGATCCACAAAAAACAAGATAGGACTGTAAATTTTTTTCCATCTGCACAATATAGTACTAAAGCGGTTCAAAAAGTCCCATCAGCTATACACAAAATGTTGCTACAGAGTGTTTTTTAGGCTGGTATAAGTGGTGGAACAGTTGGAACGTTCGCTCGCTACCGTAAGCCAGTCAATCAATGTTTCATTTTTTCAATAGCCTTGTTGGAAAGGCTAGATAGAGGAAAGTTGCCAACATTAATTTATCAAGCACCTTATCTGTGTCTGGGAACAAACTCCTGTAGGTGATGAGGGTTTACATAGAGCATCCATCTTACATTATTGTTCATTTCTGAATCATTGGCAGGCTGCCATAGATAGTGTCCACTGATTCGGTAGTCTCCTGCCCTTCACCCAAGGATAACATACAACACCCTGTCTCTCTCACCATTTCCCCATTCAGACAGTAGTCTTTTTTTAACCACTTATTTTGTTATTTGTAGTCTTCCTTCTTGGGAAGGAAAACTTGTGTACTGACTAGAAGGCAGGAAGCCAACCACTTATTTTGTTATTTGTGTACTGACTAGAAGGCAGAAAGCCCCCCTTCCCCCCCCCAAATTACTTGGCGCGTAGTGTGGGACCAATAATATTATGTAGGTGTTATTCAGTGTAGGAATGTAGGCATAAATAGCTGGTAACATCATCTTTGTATGTGGATGTGTGAAAAAGAACAGGGTGATAGATGCTTAGAGTGGCTCAGACTTCCTGAGTGTTATGGTTCTTCCAGTTTTTCATGAATGGAGATCAAAGATGGGCTAAGGTGTCTTTGACTATTGGTCCATCTACAAGTATGCAAATTGAAAAAGGGGAAGAGCAAGGAAGCATTTGAGAGCAAATGTCTCCTCTCACTCACAGCAAACATTGTCTCTTATGATGCTTGCCAGCCAATTGCAAAATTCAGAATTAGAGATGGGCAAAAACTGGAAGAACTATGAATCAGGGTGGTTTGTGGCTACCCACAAACCACCCACAAACCTCAGAAAAATGAACAGTTTGAAGTTCGGGGGGGTAGAGAACGTAAAACCTCCACCTACTCTGTCACCGACTGCACTCGACACCTCCGTACCTGCTCTTGCCCTATCCTAGGTGGTTTGCCTCCTCCTCTTCCTCCACTACCACTATCTTCAAAGACTTCAGCCTGACTTCCTTTCCATAAGAAAGGCCTCCTGTCTCCGTGCATGTGCATGCCTATCAATTGATAGGCTGGCACATGCAAAGTGACAACGGCCTGGCTTCCTGGAGCATGTGAGGTAGTGAAAAACCCAACAATGACGGAGTACAGCAGGATGCTCCAACAATCACCCTGTCACTGGCCTCCTCAGCAGATTACAGAAATTTATCCCACTAGCATCGGAATTAGGAGTACAAAAAAGGAAACATAATAGGAGAATAAGAGTGACAGCTGAACCACCAATGCAGCCTCAAAGTTCTCCCAGGCTGTATTTGCTGGGGCCCACCAGAATCTATAACTCGCCTTCCTGTTGCTCAGGCAGAAATACTTGGATAGAGAGTAGGTCATGAATTACTTGCACAGCTCTACTGTTAGTATGATGGATGGAAAAACCATTTGATTCCATAACCTAACCCCCAGTTCAACAACTGCTCCCACCTCGACAACCTTCAAGACAGATCCCCAATATCCTGAAAAAGGTTCCTTGATAGATCTTCGGCATGCCTCCTCATCCTTTTGAGCTGCTGAACTGCCACTTCTGATTTCTCCCTACTTCTATTATGATAGAATGGAGATATATCAATCCATGCATTGCTCTAGTCCTTTGCTATGAATTCCTGGCGCTGATTCCTTGTTTATGAAAATGGAGAGCTAATACTATAAGCCCAATATTTTTTCCATTTTTCTCATAATCCAATAAAGGTCTTGTCCATCCAAACATACCATCATTTACAAATCCCTCATACATATTGACATAAACACTTATAACAGATTTCTGAATTCTAGAACTTTTAAATTAGAAACAGTAGAATAAGAACAGGGAAGTTATTTACATCTGGGGGAACAGAACACCTTTCCACATGTGGCTTGAAAGCAACTACTTTCAGCAATAGCCAGCTTGGCCAATGGTGGGGGATGATGGGGATTGTAATCCAGGAACACCTGCAGGGATGCCCATGCCTTATTCCTGATTAACTGGCAAACTCTGCCAGTGAATCTCCACACCATGTTGAGTGGGGAATATCCTCCTCACTCAACATTGCTTGTTACAAATTACTAATGTGCACTACCAAATTGTCCCCATCTGCTTCCCTAATTACAGTAAAAAATACTTAAGCAGAAAAGGGACTATGGGAATAGTGTAAGGGGAAGGAAAAAAAGGAAGAAATACAATATACTGTTGTTCAAGGCAGCCATGGAAACTGCAGCAATGGACAGGCATGCCTGTCAAACCTTTAGCTACTGTGCATCAGGTTTATCGTGGTTATATCCATCATATTTCTTTCGGAAGGCATTGGAAAGGTGGGGGGTAAATCAGTCTTTCATTATAAATAAATGGAGCAGCTGAGTGGTCTGCTTCTTTGTTCATGCTTTTGAGAGTTTTAGCAAGACCTTCAGAGTGCTTTAGGAATTTATGAGCTTACATTTGATCGCTGAAGACCTACTGTTGTCAAGCCATTAAAATGGCTGCACTGAGCCGAATGTCCTTGGCTTGGCAATGGGCTTGCTGGCTTCCCTGGAGCTCTGAAGTGTGTG